ATCTATCTTTCTCTCTAACAATAATTAACTGACCTTTCTCACAAAATAAGTCATAATGTGTACTATTATTTACATTTTATCTTTTAATCTGTCCTTGTCTCCGATACTAATGAACATGTTATATTTATCACCAAAATAGACTGTAAGTCATATTGTGTACTATTATTTACATTTTTTAAAAATATGTGTTTCTTATTCAACAACAATTAAACTGTTATCACATATTATCACAAAATAGATTGTAAGTCATAATGTGTACTATATATACATTTTATATTTTAATCTCTCTTTTAATCTCTCTGCATCATATCAATCAACAATAATTAATCTGTTGTCTTGGTCACACAATAGGCAGTAAGTCATAATGTGTACTATTATTTACATTTTATCTTTTAACCTGTTTTTCTCTCTGATATCAATAAACTTTTATCTTACGGTAATACAACAGAGAGTAAGTCATTATGTGTTCTATTACTACATTTTATCTTTAATCTGTATTTCTCTCTGATATCAATCAATATAATAAAAATGTTATCTTTCTCATACAATAGATGGTAAGTAATAATGTGTACTATATTTACATTTTAATCTGTCTTTAATTCTCTTTATCTGATCTCAATCAACTTAATTAAACTGTAATCATTTGTCACGCAATAGTATGTAAGTCATTATGTATTTTATTATACATTTTATCTTTAAATTTGTCTTTCTTTTTGATATCAATCAACAATAATGTAATTAAACTGTTAACACAATAGAGAGTAAGTCATAATGTACACTGTTCTTACATTTTATCTTTTAATCTGTCTTTTTTATGACAATAATTAAAACTTTTCACAATAGACAGTAAGTCATAATGTGTACTATTATTTACATTTTATATGTTTTCATTTGTCTTTAATTCCCTCTGATATCAATCAAAAAAATTAAACTGTTATTGTGGTCACACAATAGGCAGTAAGTCATACTGTGTACTATTATTTACATTTTATCTTTTAATCTCTCTTTCTGATATCATTCAACAATAATTAAACTGGTCACACAATAGTCTGTAAGTCAATATTATTTATATTTTATCTTTTAATCTGTCTTTCTGATATCAATCAATAAAATTGAACTTTTATCTTGG